CACAAGAGGTCGGTAATTTAGATGGTGTTGGAAGTGTTGTTGGAACAGACCATGATATTTTGATGGTTTCTTCATCAAACAACAATCCACATTGACACACGCGGTATTTGGATATTGGCTGCACAAATCATATGTGTGGCATGAAAGAGTTGTTCATTGAGTCTGATGAATCATTCCACACAACTGTTAAGTTTAGTGATGGTAAGACCATTCTAGTGACCGGAAAAGGGTAAATACTCATCGCATTGAAGAATGGAGATCTCAGATACATTTCTAATGTTTTCTACGCAGGGCCCTTTAAATAAAAGATGGCGTCCTGTGCAATCTCTTAAATTGGGCCCAATTTTTTCAAATAATTTGTATATATAAATAATAGTTCTCCAAAAAGTTGTGTCAAAAATTCAAAATATAAATATTGTATAAAAAATATATCTAAAATTTTTAAAAAGTGACATGCGCCGTGCACATTTAGACGCAAAATCATCTACCAAACTTTTAATATGAACTTCATTGACCAAAACACATTTTCCTATACCTTTTTTAAAAATCTTGCAACAAAACAAAACACCTCGTCAAGTTCTTTTGAATATACAAGTCAATCTTGATCACACTTCTCTTTATTTGGCAAATATCTTGTGTAAAATGCTAAAGAAAATTTTCTAAAGAATTTATCTTTAGGACCTTTATTTATTTATAAATCTCTTTTAGGACCATCTTTCACAAGAATATCTGTTAATTTAGAATCAAGGGCATCCCAATTTCTTGGATCATATATGTCAAATAAAAACGAATTATTTGGTTTATCATTGTGACCACATCATCTAAACAACTGTTAACATTCTTATTATTTTCATTGTCACAGTGATACCTATTATCGTTGTTCATACTATCATTTAAATTTTTTCCAATCTTACAATCATCCTGATCTTCTATATGAAAATTAATATCTAACAAATTTTCCTTGGCATCATCTTTTTACACATCTATTTGAGTTTCTTTTGTAATGAATTTTTCAAGAGCTCCCTTTTTAGATTGAGTTAGTTGCTCAATTCTTCTTTTATTTTTACGCTTCTTAAACTCAGATGAATATTTTTTAGAAGACATAATTATAAAACCCTAAAGAAAAAATAAGAATTTATTAAGAAACTCCATTAACAAATAATTAATTAAGAAACAAATTCTTGAATAAATTATTCTAAAATCAGAATTATTAAGTTAGGTAAATAAAACAATAAATAATAATTCTGAAATATTTATGTAACACCCCGTGTTACGGCCTCTAACCCGAACTAATTATTTAATTGAGTAAAAGATAATTTTGGTCCTAGATTTATAGTGGCACGGACAATTTTAGTCCTTAATAAAAAAATTAGACAATTTATGGACACTCTTATTATGACGAGGACAATTTTGGTCCTCCGTCTATATTTCAGTTAGATGGCCGTCTAATATGAGGACAATTGCGTCAATTTACTCTATCTTCTTCTCCAACCTTCACTTCTCTGTAACTTCATCTTAATTTTTTAAAATGAGAGTCACGGCACCAACCAACCAACCAACCAACTAGCTTACAGTCAATCATAAAGAAAACTCCCCTTCACCAAATTATACTTCACAATGTCGACAACTCGATCAAATTCTCTACACGTACGGCAGAAGGCAGGCAAGATCAAGGTGGTGCCAGGTGTTTGTGTTTTTGTCACAAAGATACAAATGAGCTCGACTCAAGTCAATGCCACGCCGAGGGAACAAATGAGCGCAAGATTTCAGCTCCAAAGCCACCGCTTCATTTGTGTTTTGATTTTGCGGGGTGGTGGATTTGAGGAGGAGCTGAAATGTTAGTCCAAGATCGAAACGGGTCGACCCGAAATCTCCCAAGGGGTTGAAACCCAGCAGAGATTCATTGCCTCGCTCTTGCATTCCCTAGACCAAAAACCTCGATTTTACCTCATGGGTTTCGGAGAATCTATACAAGCTCCTCACCATTGTGCTCCTCGTAGCCACCGTCGTCGGTTTATTCTATTTCTGCAACGTCGCCGAGGGCTCAAACGCCTTGCTGTGCATTGAGTCCACGCAGGCGCACTCTGTTAAACCCCATATGCCTCAGATCAACTGGAATGACATCCCTGCAATCCTAGATAAGTCTTCTCCCTATGCGAATTTCCGATTCGAGAAGTGGATCATTGTGTCCGTGTCTAATTACCCGTCAGATTCACTCAGGAAGCTCACAAAGTTGAAAGGGTGGCAAGTTTTGGCTGTTGGGAACTCGAAAAATCCCCAAGATTGGAGCTTGAAAGCTGCAATTTACTTATCTTTGGAAGCACTTCGATATCGAATTGGTTGGGGAGACTGCTAGGCAGGAGGTTATTTTGCAGTATAGTCATGAAAATCCTAATAGGACTGTTGTTAACCCTTATATACATTTTAGCCAAAGGTCAGTTTGGCCAAGAGGTTTGCCATTGAATAATGTGGGTGAGATTGAGCGCGAGGAGTTCTACGCCGAGGTTTTTGGTGTGAGACAATTCATTCGGCAGGGAATTTCAAATAGTTTGCCTGATGTTGATTCGGTTTTCTATTTTACTAGGAAGTCAGGGCTTGAACCATTTGATATTCAGTTTGATGAGCGTGCTCCAAAGGTGGCATTGCCACAAGGGACAATGGTGCCAGTGAATTCTTTCAACACCATATTTCAATCGTCTGCATTTTGGGGTTTGGTGTTGCCAGTTACAGAGAATTGAAGGTCGGAGAAGAAGATAGCGTGGAAATTGACGCAATTGCCTTCCTCTTAGACGACCATCTAACAGAAATATAGACGGAGGACCAAAATTTTCCTCGTTACAATAAGAATGTCCACAAATTGTCTGATTTTTTTATGGAGGACTAAAATTGTCCGTGCCACTATAAGTCTAGGACCAAAATTGTCTTTTACTCTTATTTAATTACTTACCATTAAAATAGAATTGAATTCCCTTAATTAATTAAGAAGGGTCCACCATGGATCATAGACCCTTATCCCTAAACCAAGTCCTTAGTCCTATAAGGAATAGAATAAGTAGATCCTTACCATTCAGACCCTAGTTAGGACTCTTAAGTATATATAAGGACCTAGGAGACAGCTAGAAATCACACCACAATAGATTCCACCAAACAAGAATTCCCAAGAATTCCCCTATCACCAAACGTAGGAGAAATCACGAAGAAGAAATCTTAGAGAAAGAACCTTAGTAGCTAAGGATTCTAATTAAGGCTAAGAGGTAACTCATGTCTCAAAAAAACCTATTTTCCTTGCTATAATCTTCTTCTTTGGCTCCTTTGATATGCAATTCGATGCTTGTGTCTTGATAAGGCTTTTATGATGATTATGAGATAATCTTGATGTTTATGAGATGATCTGGATATTGAAGTGTTGATCTTGATGCTTGTGTAATAATCTTGATGTTCTTGATTTTAAGATAAATTGTGATCTTGTGCTTTAAATACGACTAGAGCCCTAGGGTTAAATCGTGGATTACGTATTGTGACATTCTTGGTATGTTTGGGTGCGATTATGCATGATCGGGTATTGAGTCTTAGTATGTTTAGGAGTTGTGTTAGGATGTATTTAATGTGATTCTTGGTTTTAATCCATTACTTGATTACATGGTGTCGTCGTTTGTGTTTAAGCGTGTCTGGACATGGTTTCGGGTTCCACGAGAGATCTCGGGATCGAATTATTACATAAGAGTCAGTGGGGCGTAGGTGGGGGCAGGGGTACCGGCCACTTACCCGCTGCCCCATGGGACCGCCTGGCAGCGGGCAGGCGACTGCCCGCCGGGCACCTACTGCCTCGTGATGTGCCGTAGGCGGGCAGCCGGCGGGCCACCTGCTGGAATTCCAGTGTGGAACATGGTGGTTTTCCCCGTGTCCCGTGGTGTCCCATTGGACCCCGTTTGTCGTGCTTGAGTCTAGTTTGATGTATCGGGTACCGTTCGTAGGATAAAAGAGTCTTGTGTATTGCATGCTAGTCGAATTGGTATCCCGTTGGCCTAGGAGAAAGGTGCATGAACCCCTTAGACGTATCTCTAGTAATGTGGTTGACCACGCATAAGTTATATATGTATGATTTCCCCCTCCTTATGTGTTAATGTGGGTTGCATGTGCTTGGCTATGTGTTATTTGTGCATGATACCCCAATTGGTTGCGATCAATTGGCTATACAGGCAGTTGGATGGGTTGAGAACCATCAGCTGTTAACCCGGCCGGTTGCGATCGGACAGGTATATAAATATATATATAGGGCTGTGGTCAATAATCTGGTTGCGATCAGACATACATACTATTCAGGCTGCGGTCCACCGTTTAGTTGCGATCAAACGTTATAAATAAGCTGCGGTTCATTGATTGGTTGCGATCAATCTCCTTGTGCTGCGGTACAGGCAGGGTGCTTCTGGGCCATGCCAGAGCTATATGCGCTGGCGCTTCGTGTATGGGCGCGTGAAGGGTCCTGCGACACCGCCAAATGTGTTTACGTGTTCAGATAATTATTGAATACTGATATGAATGATGTGAAATAGTCTTGTGACCTTAGGGTATATGATAGTATCTTTATATGCGTGATTATATCTGATGAATATGCCTACCCTTGCTGAGTCTATTCTCGATTTTAAATTAGAGTTTCATAAGTATATTTATCCATTCCGGCTTCAAAATGGTTTTCCTTTTATATATATATATATATATATATATATATATATATATATATATATATATATATATATATATATATATATATATATATATATATATATATATATATATATATATATCTACCTATATTGTATTTTAACGTGTTAGAATGGGTTACCAGCATTATTCGCTGAACAGATATATTTGACTTTCAGGCACAGATGAGTAGCTCCGAAGCGCGCTAGAGGACCCGGGGCTTAGTTAGTTTAGTTCCTTATCGGCCTGCGAGCCATGATGATGTACTTGACATTGATTCGAGGATTTCTGATGTTTAGATAGTTTAGCAGTGCATCTGAGTTCTCCAGCTCAGATGTGGCATAGCACCCCAACACTTATGTTCAGTTTTGCTCTTTTTCGGGATTTAATGATAGTATTGTCTTTATTTCATAAGCATTCAAAGTTTTAAATTTTAGGGGTGTTACAAATTTAGTACTCCGTAATTTTAATTACCTGTTAAGAGAATGGAAGAACTTGATAATTTGTGATTTTGTATGATCGATCAAGAAAAATTTTTCAATTCTATCGAACTGCGTCTGTTATCTGTCTTAGTCTTTTTATGAGATTTGTGTAAATACGCAATAAGCAATGATTTCGGTAATCACCTCAAGCTAATATACTGTATACATAAATACATAATGCCTTGCGTAATGGCGGTAATGTGAAAAGAAAAGCATTAAGAGCCAAAGGAGGAAAAAGGGTTGCGTAATGGGCAATTGGGCATGGCAGTAATGCCTCATATATGCTACATATACATAATTTTTTTTTTAATATGGGACCCCCAAAAATTGGGGGCCCTGTTTCTATGTGCCTAATATGAAAAGTAACCTACTTAGCATGGGGCAATTGGCCGAAAAAGAGTACGTGATGAATATTTTTAGCAACCAATTTTTGGTTTTTGATAAGCAAGATAATTTGATTCTTAAAACCTATTTATCAAAGAATCGAATGTTTCTAGTTCATATTACTAAAGGTGAATATAAATGTTAGAGTGCAATTGTTGGTGATGACTCGTGGCTTTGGCATCTTCATTTTGGACACCTAAATTTCAAAAGTCTTGAACAATTTGTCAAACAAAATATGGTAAAGGGCTTACCTTGTGTTAGTCATCCCGAACAGCTGTGTGAAGCTTTCGTTCTTGGAAAAAGTCACCAGTTACCATTCTTGGGCGTTCCTTGGCATGCCAAATAACCCTTGGAGCTCATCCATATCGATGTATGTGAACATTCTATCACTTGGTGGTAACATGTATTTTCTTACATTTATTGATGACTTCACCAGAAAAACGCATGTTCACTTATTGAGAAGAAAAGTTGAAGTGTTTGACTACTTTAAGAAATTTAAAGCTACTGTTGAAAAACAAAGTGGTCATGTTCTTAAAAATCTACGAAATGATGGTGGTGGTGAATACACATCCAATGACTTTAAGAGTTATTGTGAACAACATGGGGTGTAACACAACTAGGGGTGTAAACGAGCCGAGCAGAGCTCAAGCTCGTTAACGGAAGCACTGCTCGAGGTCGAGTCAAGTTCGATCGAGCTCGTGAACTGATGCTCGAGCTCGAGCTCGGCTCGAGTAGCTCAGTTTCGAGCTCAAATTCGAGCTTGATCTTGAGCTCAAATTCGAGCTCGAGTTCAGGCTCGAATTCGGGCTTGAATTTGAGCTCGAGTTTGACCTCGAATTTGACTTGTTTGATTTAAAATTCAAACTACTTTGTTTTATCCATACATAAATAATACAAACTTCAAATCAAAGCACTAAAAATAAGTTCGCTACAAACTACAAGACACATGTCAACAACATTGTTTAAACTTCAAAGCACTCAAAATAAGTTCGCAAATTGCATCAAACTACAAGACATAAGTCAACAACAATGGTCATTGATTCCTTGTACATAGATATTTCTTCCGGGATAAGCAGTTCAAAACAAAAAATATTTGTTCAACTTGCAAAAAAATATTAATAACATTAGATAACAGAATAAAGTAATTAAAAATAGTTAGACAAGTATATTACTTAGTATTTAGTAACTTACTTTCATGAGTTGGATGTCGGAAGAAATATTTCTTGGAATGATTTCTCTTTCTGCAAAAAAAAAAAAAATAAAGTAAAATAAATAAGTATACAATTAAACAAATGTTTTAAATAAATAATGTATCATTAAGCATAAAAGTTAACTTACTTTATTTTTTGTAACTCCATGTATATGTCGAAGCCAATCATCCCCAGAAAGTAGCGTGTGCTGTTTCAGGCAACAATGATGCACGATATGAATCAATTACCCTTGTCCTAGCACTAAATGTTGCTTCCGAAGCCACAGTGCTAACAAGTATAGCTAAAATATATGCTGCCATTCTTGATAATATTGGATACTACACTATATGCATCTTCCACCAGTCTAAAGAACAAAAGTTGTCAGGAACCTCAGTAGTCTTAAAATGTTCTTTTTCTAGATAGTCTACTAATTTCGAGTTTTTAGGCCTTGAAGTTTCAACTTGTGCAAAAAATTCCTGAGTTTTTAGGCTCTGAAATTTTTAGGCCATCAACAAATTGCACTCACTCCAATATTTGAATTTCTTGAAGGAACAAATTTGAAGTAGGATACTCAGAACCTTAAATAAATTTGAACTCAGATAATCACAAATCACAAGTCATAACCTTAATTAATTTTTTTTTTAAAAAATTAAAAGAAACAAACCTGAAATAATGTGAGTAGCTGTCCAGAAAGCCTCTAAAATTGAGAAAACTTTGGCAACCTTGTCCCAATCATCTTCCAATGGACAACTTTCAAAGAATGGATCACGATCTTTTAGCATCTTAAAAGCTTCTTTGAACTTAAGTGCACAACTTAACATTTCAAAAGTTGAGTTCCATCTAGTTTTACAATCACGAATCAATTTTCTATCTTTCAATTGCAATTGTTGCACATTGTTAGCAAATTTTATACGCCTTGTTTTCGACCGGTTCACATATTCCACACTATCTCTAACATCACTAATGATGTTCTGAATCTCATCTAATCCATCTTGAACACACAAGTTCAAGATGTGTACACAACAGCGAACATGAAACAAACGTCACACACATACCAAACTTCTTGATCTTTGGAGTGTATCCTTCATGTACCTAATAGCAGAATCATTACTTAAAGCATTATCAACTGTAATTGTAAAAACTTTCTTTTCAATGCCACACTCTTTCATGTGTCCAAATATAGTATCAGAAAGCTGACGACTTCCCCTCGGTGGTGGAATGTTAATGAAGCTTAACACTCTCTTCTGCAACCTCTAAGATGAATCAATCTAGTGTCCAGTGACAACCATATACTCAATCTTCTAATTTTTTGATTTCCAACAATCTGTTGACAGACTTACTTTACTAACACTTTCAAGATTGTTCTTCAACTTCTTCTTTTCGATCTCATAAACCTTTAAGCAATCTGCTTTGCTTGTATTTCAACTAATTTTTTTCCACTCCGCCCATCCTTGTTTCATCATTAGGTTAAATCCTGCTTCCTCCAAAATAGTAAACAGATGTTCATGCATCATGATCCAATTAGAAGCATATTCCCTCATTCTTTCCATGTCAAATTTTCCAGGATGTAATGGAGGAATGGGAGATGAAACTCCATCACTAGGCATAAAATTTAACTTTGTTTGTTGATCAGTGACCTACAAAACCAATACCATTATTATTAAGAATGAATTGAAAAATTGAAATATATAAATTTATTTTCAAATTTAAGTAGTTACCCTCAAATTTATCTTTCCCTTAACGCATTTGGCTTGATGCCTCTTGTAGCTAGTTGTTGTGCCCGTTTTAGTTAATGCGAATTGATGATGATAATGATTACATTGTACCTTCTGCACTCCATCTACGTTGACCATATGAAAATCACTCCACACACCTAAAGTCTTTTTTCTCTTGTTTGTTTAAAACTCTTGTTCGTGTGTTTCTTCATTTTGTTGTGTGTCATGACCATCTGGATGTAATTCTACCCTTTCAACTCCTTTAGCTTGTTCTTGCAAGCGGCTCGGCTCATTTACACCCCTAAACACAACACCACATTTCCTTACACTCCACAACACAATGGAGTGGTCGAGAAGAGAAACAGAACCATACTAGGTTTGACAAGAAGCTTACTCAAAGCAAGAGGTATGCCAAATTATTTTTGGGCTAAAGATGTGACACCCCGTAAATTCGAAATCTATTTAAGGATTAATTAGATAATTAATCCTAGCTTAATTGGTAATTTATTCCTAAAATCCTGAAAATTCAATAGTCGGAGGACTAGAAATTGACTAGTCAATCCAAGTCAAGGAGTTGTACTCTATGCTTTATGAGTTGTTCCCCTGTCTCCTTACTCTTCCAACTTTAGTAAGGGCAAATAAGTCTTTTTACCTTATGTTTTTTCCCCAAGCTAACCTAGCATCATCCTTCATTTCATTTCCCTAACCACAATAGCTCCACCTTCTCTCTAGAAAATTGTTAGCTTCTTCTTCAAGCCAAGTTTTGGGCAATCCTAGATTCTTCAAGTTGATCTCCAAGATTCATACTTTCTTAAACTTGAGCATAGGGGAGGGTAAGATCCTTGATCTCTTGGTGTTTTTAGTACCTTTTTAGGTGTCTTTTTCTAAAGATAGAATCTTTGTTGTCTTTTGGTGTGTTCTTGAAGTTGAAGTTGAAGGAGAGCTTTAGGAGAAGCTTTTAAGGGTGTGAAGAGTGAAGGTTTAGGCTACAAGAGGTAACCCATGCTTTACAAAATCTATTTTCTTACCTATATGATGATTTCTTGACTTCTACTTGTGATTTATGTTATGAAATGTGAGATTTGATGCATTGTCTTGTGGTAATGCATATCTAGAGCTTGTTATTAGGGTTCTTGTATGTCATTGCTTGGCTATTTCTTGGATTCAAGCCATATTGTTGTATTTTGTGAGATTTTGGGTGTTTTGGACTTGAATTTGGACTTGTTGTTGAAAATCCCCGAAGGGATTATTTGTGGTACAGGAGTGTACCCGCAGGCGGAACGGCGAGCAGAGCTCCACCCGCGGGGTACATGCCTCGTCTGTAATGGTACCCGCGGGCGGAACCACGGGTTGAGGTCCACCCGTGGCCCCACCCGCGGGGTACATGTTGGTGGTTGTTCGGAGATTTGTTCTCCGTGATTCTTTTGACTCGGTAATCGATGTTTTGACCTCCCGATGTTGTTTTCTTGGGCTATTTGAGTGTCTTCTTGATATTTCGTATGTCAAGAACGGTATGTTAGGAATCCATGTAGGATTTGG